CGAAATGTAATGGACACAGTAAGTATCTATGACACTGGGGTTGGGTGATGGGCGATGGGTGATGGATGACACAATCGAGGCAGCTCTGTCAGCCCGGGCAGGCCTCAAGATTTGCAATACTGCCATGGTATCGATTTTCCTGGGCTGCCTCATCTCCAACGTCTGCTGCCAGTCCTGGAAATGTTCAAATCTCAATCGCGTGCTGAGTTTTTCGCCTGAACTGATACTTCTCCTCCACGAAGGGCACCGGTGCCCACGGTGCAATTGGCTTGCGATAGCTTCTGCAGAGCCAAAGGCTCCAAGACAAGTCGCCATACGTGTGGAATTGCACTGGTTGGGCCGGGGTGGATTGATGCTTGAGCGAGGATTCGGTGACTGGGAAGGACATCATGCATGCCATTTTGCAACCTGTCTGCTCTCGCCGCAGTACTGCCTTGGCGGCAACTTGCAGTGTGCAGTCAACGACCTACAACGGCTTGGCGGCAACACACAGCGGCACTGGCAGTAAGCAGGCGGTAAGATTCGAGACGTCGCGCTGTTGAGAAAATCGACGTGAAGAGATGCGCGGTAAGTGCACGTCTTAATGCAATTTAAATTGCGGAAATTTCCGTCTTCGCGGCGGCGATGTAATGCGCCTTGTTCTGGTGGCTTTATTAGACTGGGCATCGAGATGAGCATTTCCAACGCAGCGACATGCGCATTTAATTGCAGTTGCAACGAAATATCCGATTTTGTACTTCCATTGTGTTGCCGTAACACTCACCGTGCTTTCTTTTGTCGATCCTCTTGGTCGCAGTACCATTCGCGTTCCTGTGGGACTGCTTTCTGGTGAAGAAACTTTGTAATTCCCTGGACTCCCACGGATTCACGCGGAATAAGCACTAAGTAACGTAGCGACACAATGCACCATTTAATGAAATATTTTCTGAAGTGAACGAAAAAAAAGAAGTGTGGGCTGGGCTGTGACATATCATTGGGCTTTCCACATTTGTGTGGAATATCGCGGTGATAAAATCGCTGTCATATTTTGGCTCGATGCTGTGGCATTCAATGCACTTTGCAGGACACCAGGTACATGACAGCAAGAATTTTCATCTGAAATACAGCTTTGGATTGATTGATGATTTCCTTGAATGACGCCATTGAACTGCATTCCGCAATTATGTGCTCTGACACGTGCAGCGGCAAAACCATTACTGGATATTGGGTCGGCTCCACGATCAGGTCCCCGTTTTTCGGACACGTGCGCATGTGGCACGACCGTGGGTCCGGTATTGCACGATAACCGGTTTGCCCTTGGCCGCCCTTGGCACCGGGGAGGGACATAATGCCGTGTGAGGGCATCTCCGGGCGCGCGATCTGCTTTGCTGATGGCCTGCAGTAGCCCTGGGAAAAGGCGGCTTTGGTCAACCAGCCGCATCGCCAGTTGTTGGTGCTCCCCAAGATTTCGGCTTTGTTGCGACACATGCGGGAGACAGCCTTCTTGTACAAAGCGCACGTGGGGAAGGTCAAAGCAAGACTTGAAGCTACGTTTCGCGGCGGTTTGAGCTCGGCGGTGTGGGTCTCCGATTCGGATATTCCAAACACAACGGAGCCCCAAAACATGTGCACAGCACAAGTTGGTGGGCATGGAGGTGGGCACTTTTCAGCCCACAAACACCAACGCCCTCACGAGGCCATAATATGGACAGAAAGCCTTTCCCACAGCCACTTGTCATTTGTGGTCCGATTGCTCACGATGCTCGCCATCGCCGCAATGCTATGGAGAAATTCGGAAACGACGGCATGGGTGGCTGTCCTTAGCTTTCCACCAGAAATTGCGCTTGCCTCAGCCAACGCGCCGCAGAAAAGGTCGGCATAAAATGTGTATACGCTTTTGCGCATCGATTGCCGCCGTTTCTGGCACCCTGTTGCTTGTTGTCCCGTGGCGGAGAGCGAGGATCTACTGAATGTGCGCAGATGGGCGTCAAGCATTCCTGCCGCGTGTCTCCAAGAAAGTATTGGTAAGGGCGTCTATCGTGGGCCAGATCTCCTTGGGGGGGCGGTTGTGGACCTCCATCGCCGGCTTTGCCGTTGAGGTTGTCATTTGGGGAATTCGGACACGGCTATGGCTCGTTTGCCATTGTAGCGCGTCTCCAACGCAAAATGATGGCCATTTCAACGTGTTGCCTGGCGGCAGGGGCGCCTCGTGGCCGGCTGTGGCCTCCGTGCAGCCACCGTGCGCAGCCAGCGCCTCCCCTGTAGTGCTGGTTGGGAGGGCACAGTGGAGCGAGAGGTTTGAATCTGGACACGAATTTTTGACCACACTGGTGGTGTAGATAGGCCTGAATGTGATCCAAATTTCAAGTAATTCTAATGAAACTCTTCATGGGATGCCAATCTGTACTTTTTGGGTGCCCGAGGGCGGCTCACTACGGTGATACGATCGTGCAGCTCACCATATCCATTCACTTGCGCGCATTTGAACGTGCAATATCTAGTTAATGGAAGCGCAGGGGATATCCGATGGATCGCAGTTTCCGATCATGCTTGTGACATGTGCGAATTCCTGCAAGCGCTACCGTCGAGCACATTTTTTCATCCAATAAAGATTCGCTTTCTTCCAGCGATGGCCACATTCGTGCCGGCTTCCACAGATTGTCCCAGGATCTCTATGTACTTGCACGCACGAGGATGAAAAACAGGAGAGGGTGAAGTACGGACAGGATTTGCTCGTCGGTGGCAGTCAGCCAGTCGCCTTTGAAGCTGAGAACTGAAGTGGGACTCTGACGATATGGAGGTGGAGGCCACAGCTTGCCTTCCAATTCAAATATGACGACATGGAAATGGAGGCCGCAACTTACCTTCGTGTTCAAATAGTGGCAGGCACGCGCATATGGAAAGCCACCCAAACAAAAGCTAGCAAAGATAGAATACCAGTAAACACATCGACGGAAACGTTAATTGAATAAACATACAGATAAATAAATAAATAAATAAATAAAAAATAAGCCAACAAGTAATAAAGAGAAAACTTGTTGTAAACTAAATAATTAAATTTTCTGATACGCATTCAGTTTTCATTTCTTTACGTAAAATCCAACAGAGTCACTAATTGGTAAATAATGTACTCCTTCGTATGCTCATTAATTGTTTGCTTCTGCTTATGTGCTCATGTGCTTATGTGCTTGTGCATTTGTGTCATTTAATTGTATTTGTACATTTATCTGAATTTGAGCGAGAGGCCCTACTATGCTATACTAAAATATACGCGAGATATGCTGCGCTACGCTCTGTGGAAGAACCGTGCTCTGTTCACATCGTACACGTATGTACACCAGTTATCGCTTACGATCGTTTGCACTGAGCCATGTGACACTGCCATTGGTTTGGAAACATAAGGAATCATACAGAATACAGTGGATTCAGGCTCGATAATTTTATCAGCTGCGTTGCAAGTCCCTGCTTCTGTAAGTAATAATAGCATGATCGATAGTAACGTTTCACCGTACAGCATACACCGGCTTTGGAATTCTGTAGGCTACGTCCCAGCAATTAGCCCACGACAGCCTCGCTTTCGTTACCTGCATGAGGCAATGGCGACGTTGCTTTGAAATTATCTTTCTCTGATTGGGTTGATGGTCCGTATGCATTTGCCTATATGTCCACCTCGCACCCATTCGTACGCACAACAGATGTTTAGCGGAGGGTTATGCAAATCATAACTTTCTTCATTATTTAATCAGCCGCACGGACGCGATAAATGGACACATGTGAGTAATTACGTGGGTTCAAATTACATTAACAAGTCAGCAGTTATGTGTGTACGACCGCGCAAATCCATTCTTCAGATTTGCATGCCAAAATGAGAATGTATTGCAGCATTGCGGCCCCAGATGTGCTTTGCTGTTGTTTCATGGCAACACGAAGGCTTGACGACACACACGGCAGTTGTCGCATCGCTCGATTGAGATGGCTCTTTTAGCAGTTCCGCAAATTTTGGGAGATTGAAAACCTTGCCGCGGTCTGAATCTTATGCGTCGGTGGCATCCGGCGTTGTGTTGCCATAACCAGGAAATGCCCAGTCCCGTCTATTGGTTCACTCAGTCTTGCCCGAGCTGAAATCTCTCCACAAGGGATGCATCTGCGCCTGCAGTGCAATGAGCATGATGGCCTCTCCAGATTCCAGCTATTCGAGGGAGGCCCGGCCGACAGTTGGGCATTAGAAGATCGTTGTTTGTCTGAGAAAGATGGGCGGTGCCATTTCGCTTCCACGGACCATATTGCTGGCAATGTCTTCGGTGCTCGAAATCAGTGATCGTCTTGGCAGTAGCGCTAATCAGCATCGGAAGGGAGCAGGTGGTCATCAAGCTTAACAAATGTCGTGTTTTGGAGAAATGGACGGGGGGAGAGGCGGGGTCTGCGAGTGTGTGAAGCGCTCTTGTTGCTGTGGTCAGGTATCGATTTGTAGCTGTGCCTAGTGGCGGTCTTGTGAGGTCGGGCATCGCGGATGGGCGTGCTCAATATAGCAATACGCGCATATGGTTGGAGCGTCGATGAGCCTCTGCTTGCATGGCTTGTTGTGGTGCTGCGCTGCGTGTGTTCTGGGGTTGTTGCCTCGGCCACATGCGTGCCTTGCCATACGCGTGCTATCTGGTAAGTTTGTTTTCGTGGTGTGTGGCGGTTGCTTCCAGGTATGTACACAGCGAGTCAAGGCAATGATCGCCCTGGAATTCCATTACGAGATCAAGTTGTCCGTGGAAAGGCAGAGACTAGGGTTACCAACAACTTACCACCCGACAAGAAAAATTTCACCCAGAACAGAGTCATTTATCGGTTGAAAAGTTGGCTTTTAATAAAGATTTTTTTGTGCTCGACGATTCTATTCACGTCAAATTATGTTGTCGTTCAATTCATTATATTGCTACTCCAATGTACGCGTTCGTTCGACAAGCATACAGACAGAAAAGAAACGAGTGCCCAATTAAAAACAATTCAAATATAGTAGTGAAGTCGTGTCCTCACGCCACTCTGTCCCACACTCGAACGGCTTTGTCCATAGACCCAGAAAAAATGCGTTCGCCCATGACCGCCACCGCCGTCACGGAACTGCTGTGCCCTTCGAGGACTCGGATGCATTCCCAAGTGCCGAGCCTCCACAACCGAACTGACTTGTCGTCTGAACCCGAAAACAACAAACCGGCCCCGACTGCCAATGACCGCACCCAACCAGTGTGCCCGCTCAGCTGTCTGACGCAACCCCAGGTGGCAAGGCTCCAAACGCGAATGACGCCCCTGGTAACCCCCGAAATCAAAAGTTCACCGCTGACCGCCAAAGACAACACGTAACCAGAGGGAAGCACTCGCTGGCACTTCCCCCGTCTCCATACTCTGATGGTCTGATCATCAGAGCTGGAGAATAAGAAGCGGTCGTTGATGGCCAATGAGGTCACATACCAGGTGTGCCCCTCAAGCACGCGCTCGCAGCTCCACGTGCCGACACTCCACATGCGGATGCTCTTGTCACAAGAACCAGAGAATAAATGGTCTCTTGTTGCTGCCAGTGCCCACACCGATTTGGTATGCCCTTCCAGAATGCGCACGCACTCCCAGGTGGTCCCCAGCTTCCACACCCTCACAGTATTATCATAAGACCCAGAGAAAAGGTATTCGCCATTGGCTGCCAGTGACCACACACAACCCGTATGCCCCTCGAACACTGACTGGGTGGACTCCCAACGCCCCAATCTCCACACACGAATTTTTCTGTCACTGGATCCAGACACCAGCCAATCTTTAGTCACCACTAGCGACCACACTGTGTCCTTGTGCCCCTCAAGGATGTGCTCGCATCGCCAATCCGGATCTCTGGATGCTTGCCCACTGTGGCCATGCACTTCCTGTTGTACCACACAGGTCGCGGAAAGTCAAACGGCAGTGTCATCTCTAGTTGAAACCTAAACCAATTGCACAGTTTATAGTGCATTTCATTTCGAAATACGTAAATGAATTCATTGGAACGTTCAATGTATAAATTGTACACGTTGCAAATGTGCCGTTGGCTCAGTACTTGAGCGATGCACGCAATAGAAACACTGCACAATGTTTCATGCCAGCCAAGCTGTGATGGACGAACTGTACAATAGACATGAAATAAGGAGAAGGAGGAGGAGGAGGAGAAATAGAAATTGTAAATTTAACAAAATACCAGTCATGAGCTAATGAGGGGGACTTACAACAGCGCATGTTCCAGGCATAGGGGCAACACAGGATTGAGATGCAAGGGCAAGGAAATGCACCAAAAAACCGCACTCGTTACGGGGACACTAAAAGAGCTTGGTGCACATACGACCATTTGAGACAAGCTTCTGGGAAGCGAATAATGAAGTTGTCCTGCGGACCGCCTATAAGGGAATTCTGTTGTGCGTGTGCCATTCTGTAACAATGGGCATGAACCTGTTGGCAGAGCCCCCGTGGCCTGCTGGCCTTGGGCGGGACTCGAACTGAGGTGGCAGCCCAATGAGTGGTGCACCTACACGAGGAACTATCGAAGGGCCCGCACTCACACAAACGTTGAGCTGCCTAAGCTACTTCAAGTTCAGTTCTGGATATCTGATGCCATTGAAGTCCATACGCCGTTAACCAAATATGTCGACTTGCATTGAAATCTAATGCATTGACTGCGTAATTCCAATTACACGTCGGGATATTTCTTCGATTTAAGATGAAGACGCGGATGCCAACATTCACTTAAAGTTTTTAGTTGACATAGGTCCATCAGCTGAAAGTGCTAATCACCATTACTTATTCGCACAGATGAACAGAAGCCCAGATCTATACGGAGGTGCTATGCAAAATGAGGAGAGAATAATTCGTTCTGAATTTAGAACACCCATACACAATGCAATACAGCACGAGCATGGGAAGTAAAAGGGTAACATCAACAAAATGGCAGTTGGCATTTACTATTATCAGACGATGGCACCCAGCTCTTTTCAGTTTAACTCGGTATCCACAAAGCACATGCCTCGCTTATTGTGGGGAAGGTATCTAAAACGAAATTACTTTTATGCTTGAGATATTGTAAATTAATGCGCGTATGCTGTTGATTCGTTACTTGACACACACAAGCAGACGGCCAGGTGTGGAACCACTCAAAGTAGTTCTGTTCTTTTATGATTATCTGGCATCTTTTTCAAGTCCAAAACTGTTGATACCAAACACATCATTTCATATGGAAGACTAACGCTTATGTAACCGCAACTGCATATCAAGATGCTGCTTCAATTTCATGATGGAGACTGCCAACTCCCTTCCAGAGCATCGTTTTGAACTAACTGAGGCGACGCTCTCGAAGCAATCCCATCTTGACTGGGTCAGTCAACAGCGAGACATTAATTTCCGCCTTCTTTCATGCTCTCTCTGCTCCATTCGACTGCATTCTTGATGCTGAAGCAGGTGCATGAGGGTTTCTTAAGCTAAGGACTTGTTTATTTGCACAACATCGTCGTCAAGACTACCTTGTCCACCTGTCAGAGCTGCTGCAGCTCTGCATGGTGGAAGTAGGTAGTGATGGCAGCACCGCTGTGGAAACGGACATTTTTTGCAGTTCACTCTAGAGTGTTGAGGGAAGATAGAGCACCCCTGAGTACGAAAACTGTAACCAACAACAACAGTCCTCCAGGGACGTTTGCTACACCACACCTTATGCTCAGTGCCCCAGCAATGATATTCATGCTCCGCAATGCGTTCTGTCAGCTGCAATTCACTAGTAGAAATCAGCATGCTTGCGATGCCATTTTGACACAAATTGACGCCATCACAGCCACTTTCTATGTTTGTTGCAGTCACTGTGACGGCATCATTTTGTGTCATAATGGCATTGCAGTTGGCATCGCAAACATGCCGTTTTCTACCAGTGATTGCAATATGATGTGCTGCCCATGAGCAAGGAACAGTAATAGCAACGGGCGACCTGCAAGATGGGGTGGATCCCAGACATGGTGTGAAAGAAGGCGGCCACATGGTGCGATGAGCAAGAGCTTATCAACCCCAAAAATGCACGTCGACCAGGCGTTGACCAAGACAGACTGCCACCAGCCCACCCTTGCTTGAGGGTAACGATGCAGCAAATTTGCGTGTCTGGAAAGGCGGCCATGTCAAACATCTTCTGGAGTGTGGAGTGCACATAGAGCACCCTCCAGTAAGACAACTCAAAGCCATGATGAGACTGTCCTGGTTGACCCAGGGTCAACCCCTTCTGTCAAAACACGGATTTGACTGCCATGGATCCCCAGTGCAATGGATATAAAATGCCAAACGATATCATTCCAGCTGTCAAGCTGGTGAAGGATGCATGCAAGACCAGCCCAAAATCACTCGTGTACTTTCTGTAGTGGTGCAGGGGCACTGCAGACACCATCTCAATAGATGCTAACACACACAATGAAATGCTGTTCTGCACTAGGAAAGAAATGACAAGAGTTCAATGTGTGCAAAGTCTGCCGGATTGGGTTACTTCTTCTGTCCACAAATAAATGAACGCGTTTTATTGACGGGCCGCAATCATGTCAAGCCTTGTCCTTTTTGTTAAAAATCAGATTGCAGTACCAACTACGAGGTCTATACATGATATCAAATTTTTGTAGAGAACGAATTATTACAGGGGGCACTGCCTCAAAGATGCCCAATTCCTAGATCATAATTTGATCCATCGCATTGGTGCACTGGCAGGCTTGGTTTTTACGCCATAAAAGTTGATCGTATTTACGTTTTTACGCGTAAAAATAGTTTTTACGTTTTTACACGTAAAAATGCGTAAAAATACGTAAATACAACGTAAAAACTGCCTGGTGTACATAAGGACAGTACATATAGATTTACAGAGTCCGGAGAGTGGCAGCCAGACGCCTTGGAAGAGGCAGAAAACGAGTTTTTGCTAAACGCCATTATCGCCCTTGCCAAAGGCGAGGTATACATTGTGCTTCAGATGATGAAGATTGCGGAGGACCGATCATTGTATGCAACTTTCATCGTGTAAACTACGTGTGCCAGGGAGCCGTAAAAACGTAAAAATAGCCGTAAAAATAGGCCCTTTTGCAAATTTACGTTTTTGTGCGTAAAAACGTAAAAGTAAAAACGTAAACGTAAACGTAAAAACCAAGCCTGTGCACTGGCATGGCCGGGAGTGGCGTTCTGTATACAAGAACGCCCCACTATCGAGTGCAGACTATCTTGTGGAGTCTGGAGCACCATGAAAGTAGAGTTGACCATGCACAACTCAAGCTCCAGCCCAACGATCGACACCCATCACTGTGGAGCACTGGCAGTAACGACCTTGGTGTCTGTTTGTCACCATTGCCGATTTCTTGGATTTCGCCCCATCTTGTGCAACGACACAATGGCGTGCATGAGATCCATCCTTCTTAATACATTCTCAGGTATCCTGATACCCGCCCTGTTATTGCTGTGTGCACTAAAGTCTATCTATTCTGTCGCAGCTTACAGTAATGGCAAGCCTGGGGCAAAGCCATGCGTCTCAAAAACAATGAAATCCTGGAAATTTTTTGGCTGTGAAACTCTTCGATGTGCAGATGGAGGTCCATAATGTTTGTCCAGACAGCCTTTCAGCATCCTGCATGGTTGGCATCTGAAGTTTTGGACGGTGGCATTATTCAAAGCATCGTGAACAGCCCTGATAGGCTGTCATGGAGGGAGCACCAGCCACCTCCATTTCTGGCTATCTTTCTGCTCCTGTGCTGAAGGCTGACAACACAAACATTCCATACAGAAAATTTTGGTAAGATATGCAGCAAGTTCTTAGTAACACACAAAGCAGCTGCATAGGCAAAATACAAATACAATGTCTGGATGAGACTTACCATACTCAGTGGCTGATGAGAAGGAGTCCAGTCTGTTGGCAGCTTTTGCAGGTATTGGGTGATTTCCATCATTGTTGGTCGCTCTGCAGGATTGGTGGAGCAGCAGCGCTTCATGAGCATCCGCATTTCTTCAGGACAATCCCCAGGATGTACTGTGCATGGCTCTTCACCAGACAGCTTCTTGTTCATCACAAATGCTCTCCTGGCATCAGCCGGCATCAGTTTGCTTGCTCCATATGGATGTGCTCCTGTGACTGTTTCATATATGACGACTCCGAAGCCAAAAACGTCAGATGCAGCAGAGACAGCTTGCCCATGGTAAATTTCGGGTGCCATCCACTCAAGTGTCCCTCCTCCCAGCCTTGTTGTCTTGCTCCTTCCTTTGGCTGCTTCAAATGCAAGCCCAAAATCTGCAATCTTCACTTTGCAATTGCTCGGGACTGTCCCAAATATGAGAAAATTTGAGCTTTTAACATCCGAATGCACAATAGGCGGAGAAAGGCTGTGCAAAAAGCACAGCGCTTCTGAAGCCTGCTGGAGAAGGATGACTGTCCCTTCCCAGCCCATCTTCCTTGAGCCTCGACAAAAAGCCCCCAGATCTGTATCAGCCATTTCCATCACCAACCAGC